GGATTTTTTTGACGACAGTGAAACACAGATATGACATTTTTAAGATAAAAATCCTCGTGAATTTATAGGTGCAGGGAAATTAATTCAAAGTTCAAAATCCTCGAGGAATTCCTTGCGGATTTTTGAAATTCAGACAAAAGAAATTAAAGTACAAAATCCTCGTGGAATATGTGAAGATTTTTAATAACAGACGAAAAAAATAAAGTACAAAATCCTCGTGGATTCCGTGGGAATTATTAAAAAAGAAACGAAAAAATTAAACTACAAAATCCTTGTAAATTCCGTAAAAATTATTAAAAAAGAAACGAAAAAATTAAAGTATAAAATCCTCGTGTATTCCTTACGGATTTTTGAAATACGGACAAAAAAATTAGAGTACAAAATCCGCGTGGAAATCCTCGAGGAATTCCGTCCAAATTTGACACGAGGAAATCCTCGAGGATTTACACGGGGATATTTTTGACATAACATTTAACGTAGCCGTTCAAAATAATGTAAATTTTATTTTAGTCACCTGCGTTGTCTTTTGTCGACCTCCTGTGAGTCTGAAATAAATCCCAATTGCAGAACTTATTCCGAGCATCAGAACAATAACTAAGTAGTCGGCCCATCCTAAAGTTGTCGTAACTGTCATAACTTTTAACTATAAAAATTGAAAGACAATTAATTCGTTAATCTATTTAATTCAATTTAAAGGTTGTCATAATTCCAAGTAAAACTATTTAAAAATCCGTATTATTTTTTAATAGGGACACCAATGACATCGTACACTACTATCCGCGAGAAAATTCAAGGCCCCTAAAAAATGATAAGACTTTCACTTTGAATAATCCTTAAAAAAAAATTGATAGGAAAAAACGGAAACAGCATTTGGAAAGCTTAGAATCTCACAAGCTTGTATACTTCAGGCCGTTTCTCCAAAAAAAATTTTCTTTCTGACAGACGCAAAAATAGATCAAAATGCACCCTATTTTTTGTTACTTTAGAAATTACCTGACTTTGCATGACACTTTTATATGAAAATCTTCATTGAAAAAATTTGAAAAAAGTATCATTTATTCATTAAATCCTTCGGAATAAAGACATTTTTGAATTTTTAAAAAATATTAATTATTATTGTTTTTATTGTAAAAAAAAGAAGACAGTGTTATCTCTCGATCTACTGGGCCGATTTTAATGAATCAAATTTCTGTGCATAAATATTAAACCCAACAATTAATTCAATTTGTTGGAAAAAGTGTAATTATCATTTTTTTCGCGATTTTGGTCATTTCTGTAGACAGTTTTTTTTCTAGGAACAGGTGAAAAAGGGTAGCGGTAGGTAAAATTTTCTTGAATAGAACTATTAAGCCTGCCATAAAAAAGATCCCGGCCAACTCCTTTGCCTAGACTCAGAATTTTTTTCACGAAACATTATCAGTGCTGTATATATGTTGTAACTAAGGGCCCAAAAATAATAATTCGTATGTTACTTATAAATGACATTTCTTTTTTAATAATAATTATTATAATAAATACAAACAATAATTATTGTTAATAAATTTTGAAAAAAATTCTGAGTCCAGGCAAAGGAGTTGGCCGGGATCTTTTTTATGGCAGGCTTAATAGTTCTATTCAAGAAATTTTTACCTACCGCTACCCTTTTTCACCTGTTCCTAGAAAAAAAACTGTCTACAGAAATGACCAAAATCGCGAAAAGAATGATAATTACACTTTTTCCAACAAATTGAATTAATTGGTGGGTTTAATATTTATGCACAGAAATTTGATTCATTAAAATCGGCCCAGTAGATCGAGAGATAACACTGTCTTCTTTTTTTTACAATAAAAACAATAATAATTAATATTTTTTAAAAATTCAAAAATGTCTTTATTCCGAAGGATTTAATGAATAAATGATACTTTTTTCAAATTTTTTCAATGAAGATTTTCATATAAAAGTGTCATGCAAAGTCAGGTAATTTCTAAAGTAACAAAAAATAGGGTGCATTTTGATCTATTTTTGCGTCTGTCAGAAAGAAAATTTTTTTTGGAGAAACGGCCTGAAGTATACAAGCTTGTGAGATTCTAAGCTTTCCAAATGCTGTTTCCGTTTTTTCCTATCAATTTTTTTTTAAGGATTATTCAAAGTGAAAGTCTATCCTTTTTCAGGGGCCTTGAATTTTCTCGCGGATAGTAGACAATAACTATCGGCTTTCTGCAACGTTTCATGTAATTTCTAGAAACGTTAGATTGTACTTATTTTTTTGGATAATATTCCAAAATTTCGAATTGAAAAGTTGAAGGTCACTTTTTTATAATTTAAAATGGTGGACGATTTTTGGAAATACTTCTAAATAAAGTTCATATTTTACTGAAATCTGTAGATTAAATCAATTTTTGGTATTTTTGAAAAATTAGTTTCTTTATATTTTTTGAAATAACTTTTTCTTATATAGAAATTTTAATTAATTATTGTCAAAAATTGTATTCCTGGTATTAACCCCTTGACTGTCGCTGACGCAATATGCGCGGATTTAAAACTGGCCAAAAGTGCTTTTGACGCAATATGCGCAACTTAAAAAAGTTATTAAAAGCTCCTTCAAAATCGCTGAAACTGGTTACTCGGGGGTTTTTGGGGTCGCTGAACACGAATACGGTGTTAGTTTTTTAAAATTCAAAATGGCGGATCCAATATGGCGGACGATTTTTCAAAAAATTGATCCAATTTGCCTGAAAATCGTTTCTCGAGGTTTTCGGGGTCGCTGATTACGAATCCGAGGTCCGTTTTTTAAAATTCAAAATGGCTGATCCAATATGGCGGACAATTTTTCAAAACTGATCGGATTCGCTTGAAAATGGTTACTCGGGGGTTTTTGGGGTCGCTGATTACGAATTTGACATCAGTTTTTCAAAATTCAAAATGGCGGATCCAATATGGCGGACAAATTTTTCAAAACTGATCGGATTCGCTTGAAAATGGTTACTCGGGGGTTTTCGGGGTCGCTGATTACGAATTTGACATCGGTTTTTCAAAATTCAAAATGGCGGATCCAATATGTCGGACAATTTTTCAAAACTGTTCAGATTCGCTTGAAAATTGTTACTCGGGGGTTTTCGGGGTCGCTGATTACGAATTTGACATCAGTTTTTCAAATTCAAAATGTCGAATTAAATGTGGTAGAATAATGGATCAAAATTGTACGAATTCGCTTGGAACATCAGTTTTTAGCCTTCCTGATAAAAAATCTCAATTCAGATGATAAAAATTGAAAACTGTGCACCTTGATGCAAGAAGTAGATATAGATACAAGATAGAGTGGGGGCTTGGCCCAAAGCAGAGTCTCCAAGAGGTCGGCGTGCGCACTCGATGTACCTGGTAAACTATACCTATAGCTATGTTCGTCGGTTGCGCATGGCATGCGCACGCAGTCCTATGCTTTTATTTCTAGAGGCCAAGTCCCCACTATTTCTCGAGACTATACTTGGTTCTTGCAGCCAGTTGCTCCATTTTAGATTGAGGTTGAAAAAACTATACAATAAATTCAATTTTCGATTATATGGAGAAAGGTAGGTAATATATGCGCTTATAATTAAAAATAGAGTGTATGTTTGAAGTATGTATGTATGAAGTGTATGTCTGTTTGTGTGTATGTTTGAAGCAATACTTGATTGAGTTGTTCACACTTTATTACATACTGTATTACAAATATTATTCCTAACTCGAAGTATCATTTTAAATAAAATATTTGTAATGAGTGCGAATTGAAAAAAAAGAAAAATTGAGCAGGTACAAATGAGCAGTTCTGAGTCAGATTCAGATTCAAGGAGTAGCTCTACAGAGCCTATGTCAAGCGACAAAGATGACAATAATTCAATTGATGAGTGGTTAGCTGAAGAAAATAAATCTGAAAATGACGCAGAACAAGTTCTTGAAAATACCGAGGAAAATACTCTGCCGCTGGATGCTAATGACGTTTCGGAGGACGAGTCTCATGTATCATTATCTGTGCGATTGGCTAATTTTCAAAAAGATATGAAATGGACTGAAAATGGTACTTTTACTCCGACAATTCATCCGTTTACAGATACACGGAGAGAAAAATCATACTATATTCACATGAGCCGCTGTTGCTTTTTTCACATAACACTATTTCATGTAAAAATCGTTTATCACGCAAGATATTTTTTCATGAAATCTTGTGTTTATTGCATGAATAAACGTTGTGTGAAATTAGAAAGACATGTATACTAATTCTGATTGATCTGTAAACTATAAACGCTTAAGAAACATGATAAAATTGCCTTCCTTCTCTTTATATAAAATTTGCTTGAAATCCATGCGCTTTTCGGATGGATTTCTTACAACGGAGATAGAAATGCTAGTGCGCATGCGTGACTCCCGTTCACGTGTCTAGTCATATATATATATAGTCACGCATGCGCACTATCATTTCTATCTCCGTTGCAAGAAATCCATCCGAAAAGCGCATAGATTTCAAGCAAATTTCGCATTGAGTGGAGGGGAGTATTTACTACATGGACTTGAAGCAAATATATTACATGTTCCAAACTTTTTTTGCATAGAAATCTACGACCCAATAAACACATGAATTTTGTGTAAAAAAAGCACGTCACAGGTGATGTGAATAATGAGTGACACAACCCATGTGAATATAGTATGATTTTTCTCTCCGTGTACAAACGTAGGAATTCAGACAGAAAGCGGTATCACTGTAAGCAGTACGCCGTTAGAAATCTTCAAAAAATTCCTTACCGAGGATATCGCCGAAAGTATTTCTTTGGAAACAAATATTTATGCAAATAAAAAGGTAGATGATTTGCGCCAGTCTGGTAAATTGAAACCAAAATAAAGAATTCTAAAGTATACTGAAACGTCTTGCGATGACATTTATGCATTCCATGCACTTATAATTTTGATGGGTATTGTGAAAAAACCGTCATTGGACATGTACTGGACTAAAGATGAAATGTTAGAAACACCTTATTTTAAAAGAATAATGCCGTACAATCGATTTCGACAACTTCTTTCATTGCTGTATTTTGTCGAAGATGATGAGAATAGTACAGATAAACTTCACAAAATTCGACCTGTATTAGAAGCTCTAACGGAAAATTTTCAAAAAGCTTACAGACCAGGTGAAAATATTTGCATCGATGAATCGTTGGTACCATGGAAAGGTCGACTACATTTCAAACAATTCAACCCCCTGAAACGCAGTCGCTTTGGCATAAAACTTTTCGTGTTTTGCGAATCAAAAACTGGGTATGTTTATGACATTGAAACGTATGTAGGTAATGAAAATGACACTAATTATGTCAACAAGGGAATTGGCAAATCAGGTTCGGTGGTGAAAAGGCTTCTTGGAGATCTTTCAGGACAAGGTCGATCTTTACATATCGATAACTGGTACACTTCGCCACTGCTCTGTAAACAATTGGTAGACGAGAAAACCAATGTTTGTGGAACAGTGAGAATAAATCGTAAGTACATGCCAAAGGTATAAGTACGAAAGGCATGAAAGTTGGCGACATGAAAGTATTGCATACGCCTAAGATGTGTTTCTTGGCATGGAAAGATAAAAAAATAGTTACCATGTTATCAACTATGCATGTGCCTACTATGATCGGCACCAATAAAACAAACAAACTTACGCGCCAAGAAGTTATGAAACCCAATGTCGTTATTTCTTATAACGATAATATGGGAGGTGTTGACTTGAAAGATCAGTCATTGAGTGCGTACAAAATACTTCGAAAAACAATAAAGTGGTACCATAAGCTGTACTTTCATGCAATCGATATTGCAATTCACAACGCATTGGCAATTTACAACCAGCTTCACCCTGAAAAGAAAATGCGGCACTTAGATTTTCGACGAGCGCTAATCAATGAACTCCTTGCAAAACACTGTGAAACAAGTAAAAAAGAAAAACAAACTCCTAGCCACGAAAATATTCTTCCAGATTTTTCAAAAATGCACTTTCCAACAGAACTGCTGGACTCACAATCAGAAAAAGTTACACGAAAACGATGTATTGTTTGCTCAACACTTGGTGTAAGAAAAGATGTAAAACTTATGTGTAAAGAATGTATCATGTTCAATTAAAGAAGTAGGTTAAACCTACCCAGTTCTCAAATCTTCTTTCTGTTTTATTTTACAAATACAAAAAAAATTTTTATATAAAAAAACAACAAAATTAAAAAAATTAAAATACAAAAAAAATATAAAAAAATACAAAAAAAATGGAATGTAAACTTCTATGACAGCCTCCTCGTGGCACATTCTGGGGTCGTGAATTTAAAAAATTTAATGAATTGTACAATCCAAATTCACCAGCTAATGTCAGGGTATATAACTAAATTTGACTTTATCAAAAATTATTGTATAACTACAATAATCCGTCTACAAATAATTATATTTGATCCGCCATTTTGAAAAACGAACCCCGGATTCGCAATCAGCGACCCCGAAAACCCCCGAGTAACCATTTTCAAGCGAATCCGATCAGTTTTGAAAAATTCGTCCGCCATTTTGGATCCGCCATTTTGAATTTTGAAAAACTGATGTCAAATTCGTAATCAGCGACCCCAAAAACCCCCGAGTAACCATTTTCAAGCGAATCCGATCAGTTTTGAAAAATTGTCCGCCATATTGGATCAGCCATTTTGAATTTTAAAAAATGGACCTCGGATTCGTAATCAGCGACCCCGAAAACCTCGAGAAACGATTTTCAGACAAATTGGATCAATTTTTGAAAAAGTCGTCCGCCATATTGGACCCGCCATTTTGAATTTTGAAAAACGGACCTCGGATTCGTAATCAGCGACCCCAAAAACCTTAGTATACCAAGTTTCATTAAAATCCAAAAAAATTTTTTTCCAACACACTTTTGGCCAAAACAGTGGAAATCTCTTCGACAGCCAAGGGGTTAAAAAAAATATATGTATAAAGTTTACATTTTCCCAATATGTATAAAATTGATTGGTATTTTTATTGTTAAGAAAAAATTTAAATTTTGAATTTTTTTAAAAGTAATAATATATGTGTTGTTTATTATGATGAAGAAGCTAAATGATCATCAAATGAACAACTTGTTAATATCTTAAAAACTATCTAAATTGTGCAAAAAATAAGCTTGAAGAATGGGTTAATTTTTAAATAAAATATAGAAAAAAATCTTGAATTTTCATTGTTTTCTTTAAATTAACATAATTCCTAAAAGAATTAAGAGATTTTAACATTTTTGGGCTTATTTTAAAGGTAATGATTTGACATGCAATCGAAATATTTTTTTGTTGTAACTGTGAATTAGGCTGAAAAAGGTAACGTTGAAAGTTTAACGAAACCAAAATTCATAATTCTGTATGCTATTCAATAAAAATAATAAAAATTATACATGAAACGCATAAAGAGTAATTATTAAAAGCAAATCTACGTAATTTTAAAAATAATAAGGAAAATAATGCATTTTAATAAGATAACAAGCGATACATTTCTCGCTCGCTATGTTGCAGTTGTACTTTTTGAAAAAAAAAATTTTTGTAAACATTTAACAAAAAGTTTTATATGCCGTTTAAAAAGTACTTCCAGGACTACAACATTGCCTAAGAAAGTACTAATTTTTGTTAAAAATAAAATATTTACGGTTGATTTTCCGAATATGGTATTTCTGTGTACATCTCCCCCACTTTAATCATATGTATATTTATTTTATGTTTTAAATTATTATTTCATTACTATTTTATAGAAAAAATCTCGATTTTGATAATTTTTATTGACGGATAAAATGACAATTGTTATCTAATCATAATTCATTAAAATGTGAATTAAAATTATGGTTTCTAACAAACAAACACAATGCACTTTGAAAAAATTCATAAAATAATGAAAAAATTATTCTAATTTTTTTGTATTTCTTAAATTAAGTAAACAATTCAGATCAAAAAAATCCCATAAAGGTAAATTGTAGTGATACTGGTGTTAAATAATTGTACAAATTTTGAATTTGAAATTTTTAATATTATTGGAGATATAAATTAAAAAATAAAATATGATAAAAAATAAAATATTTTACGAACAAATAAAATTAGAATAATTTTAAGAACAACATTCCAATGCTTACCGAAATCCGCGTCCAACCGAGAATCGAAAATTAATTATAAAATGTTATTTAGAGAAAGACTGACAATGAGAAATACCATACAGAGTAGGTAGGCAACTTCCGCCAATTTGTGCTGTGGGGTGCAGGAACAGCTATTTTAAATAATCATCTGTTAATAATTTGGATTGTTAAAAACTCAACTTGCATTAATCTTATTTGTCACAAAATTAAATGATATTCCAAATAAAAAAGTATTGTTGGTTTATCTACATTCCTTCAAATGTTATTAATTATTATAAAAAAATTTATTAATGATTATTAATTTAACACACTTTTATCCGCAATAGTTCATATAAGGCTTGTTGAATGCGGATTTCAATATGCATTAGAATGTTGTTTTTATAATTACTCTAATTTTATTTGTTCGTAAAATATTTCTTTCTTTATTAACTTTTATTAGTTAAGTAATTAATAATATGTGACCTGGACAGTGAAAAAAGGGCTTACGTGCGAAAAAATTAATTTTTTATTGATTGGTGATTCTAATAGAAAAAAGTTTTCTCTATCAGAATCACCAATCAATAAAAAATTGATTTTTTCTTACATAAGCCGTCTTTTCACTGTCCATGTCACATATTTCGAGAACAAAAAATAATGCTATCTAAAAATGTAATCATTGATTTATTATGATTTTAACAATATTCATGATTTTTTCGCGCTTCAAAAAGAGGGAGAAAAAGTTTAAACGTTATAAACAAATTTTATTTTTTAAACAAATTGATTAAAAATTAATATTTTTTGTTTCTTCTCCTCTCGAGGAAACTTTGTATTTGTAACGAATTTCGATTTTTTAAAAATGAATACCCGGATCAAATAACTCGACCGACGCTCGGACGAACGCTCTATTACCAGTCAAGTAGCAGTGACAGCCTGTGGGCGGCTCACTACTACCCGACTACCATTAGAGCGTGCGTCCGAGCGTCGGTCGAGTTATTTGATCCGGATATTCAAATGGGTTATATGGGCTTATTTTTATCTAGAGTGCATACATTTGAAGTTTTAAGCAAATGTTCAGATGTGTGTGTGTGTGTGTGTATGTCATAAAATCTTGTATGCAAATTATCCCGAACACGCTTTAATAAATACGTTTTTTAACCAAAAAAATTTTTACACTATAAATTTAATTTTTTGTCCAAAATCTGATTTCTCGCATTCAAACGAATTGATTAATCTATAAAAAGTCTATATTTTACTTAAAATCTGTAAATTAAATCACTTTTTAATTTTTGAAAAAAATCGTTTTTCGTATTTTTTGAAATAACTTTTTTCTTCATGAAAATTTATAATAAATTTTGGTAGAGTTGTATTCCTGGCTTCAAAACAAATAGATTGATGTACCTATATAAAGTTTACATTTTACCAATATTTATTTTGATGTTTAAAAATATTTTAAAGTTCATGTATATAAATTATTTCGAAAATTATTCGGCTTAAAAAATATATAAACATCGGGTTTCAATAACGAATATGACGTAAACAAATGTATATAATTTAAAAATTATCTGATTATTAATTGTTTCAAAAACTATAGTTCATAATAAAAATTAAAACTTTTGTGAAATAATTAATAAATTTTGTAGTTTTACAATTAAATAGGACTAGAGAAATTTGTAGATAAAAATTGTACCTATTTAATAAAGTATAATATGTGAGTTGCTGGAGAAAATTAACCTTCCTCTAGTACATTTGCACGGAAACTAAAGTCGTTGGTAAAATACCGAGTGCAATCTAAGAACTATAGAACACGTGTATGAGAATCAACCAATGCCAGTGAAGTAGACGAATAAAACATTCTCTTAAAACTTCTGAAAATTAAAATAGATTTTGAGGATATAATTTGTTATGAGTAAATTTCCACTTTTGAATTTTGACTTAACTTAATGATGAAATAATGAAAAATTTTAAATTTTTTTTCATTTTATAAACCATTGGATTAAAATATATTTTTCTTTCAATAGAAAATTTCTTACGTTACTGAATTTTAGCGTTTGCGCACATCTTAGAAAATAAATGTAGATTTCCAGCATACAAACCTTGAATGTTTTTTAGTTTTTTTCACACATTTTATTTTTAAGTCTTTAGGTTTACATACATAATCATAATTATACTTTTATTTGAAAAAAATAAAAAACTTTTATTTATTTTAGATAATGACAATATAAACTGTAAAATGACACTTAACACTAATATCAACAATAGTTTTAACTCATTTTAAATTGATGAGCCATTAAAACTCTCTTTTACTTATTTAATGATAAAATTTTCTTTAACGAAACAAACTTATCATATTATTAGAAAATAGTAGATTATTAAAATTCAATTAAATATTTGTATATATCTGT